GGCCGCCCCGGGCCGCCCGCCCGTCTCCGCAGAGCCCCCGCGGCAGCCCTCGGCCCGCCCCACGCTCTCGTGCAAACCGGTGCCCCCGGGCACCGCGTGTCCGCGGCGCGCAGTGCCTGGGCCCGCTGCCCTCCCAGCCGTGCCGCAACGCCAGCACACCGGCGACAGCGACGTTCCTGCTCCCGCCCGGGGCTTCCCTCGCCCCCGGGCCCCATCACATCCTTCCCCCTTCCCTCAGACACGTTCTCCGTCCTTCCCAACATCTCCCTCCAGCCGCCCGTGGCCCGAGCGGCTCCTCCTCTGCTCACGAGGCTGCCTGTCCCCATCCCTCCCCAGTCGGCCCCGGCAGCACGGGCACCCGCCGCCAGGGTCCTCGGCGGCGGTCCGTGAGGTACGGTGGGCTCATCCTGGCTCCTCGGCTGCCCCATTCCGGGGCCCCTGGAATGTTCCTTCGGCTCCTCTGTGCCTCCGGAGCGAGGGCGCCCGGCTACTGCGGCCCCGGCGGCTGGCCGCCCTGGTAGGAGCGGAGTAAGACCTTGTGCTTGGTGACGGCCTCGCCGCGGCGCCGCTGGTGCTCCACCAGGAACTCCTTGAGGCGGTTGGTGGTGAAGGTGAGGGTCTGGCGGCGCAGCTTCATCAGGTAGGCGTCCTGGAGCCACGCGTTGGCGAAGCAGTCCTTCACCGTGGGGCGGCTCCTGCGGCAGCGCGGCGTGAGGCACCCAGCACGGCACGGTGACACCCACAGCCCGGCCCCGACCCCAGCAGAGCCGCCCCCTGGGACCTGCAGAGTCCCAGCTCTCCCCCAGGATCCCGGGGTTTAAGGACCAGGACCTGCCAGCAGTCTCCAAGAGCAGGGTTCGATGATAGGCTCATGGTGCCCGTAGTTCTACGTGGTTCCCAGTAGACCCCAAGGTAAGGGTGGATCCCAGGATCCCACCCATGACCCCAGACAAGAGTCTGAAGGGTCCTGTGAGGCAGGGAGCTGCCTGCCGGCCAGGGACACCCACCTTGGTGGCTGGGGTATGTACTCACCAGGGGTGGACAGAGAGGACCTTGCGGATGAAGAGGGCAGCGTTCTGCGAGACGTTGGGGTAGAGCTTGAAGGCATCAAAGCGCCCTGCCAGGATGCGGTTCTCCGTCTCGATCGGGTCCAGTTCAAAGAACGGCGACCGCCCGCTGAGCCTGGCGGGACGGAAGGGAGGCACAGACTGGGGTGCTGGGGTGCCATCCTGCCCCGCTCTGCCCGCCGCATGCCACAGCAGCAGGGGCACGCGAGACCCAGCACCCATCTCCCTCTGTTCAGCCACAGCTTCCTGGGGTGCCCGACCCCAACGTGTGGCTGGGAAGGGCCCACAGGGCTACAGCACCTTCCACAGCCCCCACAACCCACCACCAAGGATGGGGTTCCCCACAGCACTGAGCTCCGGGGTTCCCACGCCCCATCACTTTGTCTTACATGATGTAGGTGAGGACTCCGACGCCCCAGACGTCTGCTGCGGAGCCCACTGGGTCGCCCTTCACCACTTCTGGTGCTGTGATCGGGGCAGAAAGTCTGTCATGTGCGTAGAGGGCTCGTGGTATCCCTGGCACCCCATCTGCACCTCCCATTCCTCCCAGCTGACACCTAATGTCCCAAGAGTCTAGCACCTCCAAGGATATCCCAGTTGCTCCACTGACATGCAAACCATCCCACAAATCGCAGCTCCCCTAAGGAACCCTCCTCACAGACACCCCAAGTATTCCAGAGACTTTCCAATTTTCCCTATGGACGTCTCAGCTCCACTGTGCACACACACAACCCCCGTACACGGACCGCAGGCACAGGCATGCCCCTCATCCCATCCCCATCCCAGCATCACCCCATCTTCCTCATCTCCGTTTCCAACCCAATCCCATCCCATTCCATCCTCACCCTATATTCATCCCCACCCCGCTCAATCCCCATTGTGTGCACGCTCCTGCTCCCCCACTCACACATGTACTCCAGGGTGCCCACGCGCCGCCCCAGCTGCCGCAGCATGAGAGGGTTGTAAGTCTGGGCGCTGCCAAAGTCGATGATCTTGAGGGTGTTCATGCCCGAGACGACGACGTTGTCCGGCTTGATGTCGAGGTGCACGATGCGGCGCCCGTGCAGGTACTCGAGGCCCTGCAGGAGCTGCAGCACGTAGGTCACCACGTCGTCCTCCGAGTAGCGAAACCTGCGGGCAGGCGGAGTTAGCGGGCAGCCCTGCTCCCGCGGCCCCGCTGCAGCCCTGTGCCCTCCCGTACCTGTCCACGATGCTGTAGAGGATCTCCTTGCCTGTGCAGTTCTCGCAGATGAGCACCAGGTAGCGGGGAGTGATGTACGCCTCGTGCAAGGACATGATGCGCTCGTGGTGCAGCACCTTGAGGATCTCGTACTCCTGCAGCACGCTCTGCTTCCTCTCCGCCTCGTACGGCACGATCTTGGCCATGAAGAACTTCCCCGTGGCATTCTCCTTGCACAGCCGGATCACGCCGAATCGGCCCCTGCGGCAAAGGGCAGCGCTCAGCCCCCCGGAGCATGGGGCACTGCCACCCACACGCTGGGACAGGGGACATCGCCACGAAGCACAAGGCAGCAAAGAGCCATGGAGAGCCACGTGGTGTCCCTGGAGCAGGGGCTCCCAGCTAGCGGGGATCCCCCTGGCAGAGCACCCCGTCCTGTGGCTCCTCACCTTGCCTTCTCATCCAGGAAGGTGTAGGGCTTCTGCGGGACGCCCTGCCGCAGCGCCGTGCTCTCCTTGGCCTCCCGCGCGCCGCTCGGAGCAGGGGGCTCCTTGGAGGACGGGGTCATTGCAGGGGGCTCTTCCATGGTGGGTGACGCGGGGGGCGTCGAGACGAAGGAGGTCACCATGTAGGGGGGCATTTTCCGACTAGGAGCAGCGTTGGGAGTGGGAGCCACCGTGGGGACTGAGCTAGGAGTGGTCGATGCTGGGGAAATGGGGGTGAATTTGGAGGGGGACGGAGAGCGGCGCTGGGGGGAGCTGCGGGCCGGGGTGAGGGCAGGCGAGATGCGGGCAGACGTGTCCGTGGGAGCCGGCGGGAAGCTGCGGGCCGGCGGCTCCGTGTGGGGCGAGGGGGCAGTCCGAGGAGGGGTGAACACCATCTCCGGCGGGACGCACACAGTGATGTTGGGTGGCAGCTTTGGTGGCCCCTGCTCGTGGGGCGCCGGCGGCTGCGGGAGCCCCGGGGAGGTGCCCGCTTGCGGCGCCCGATCCGGATTGTGCAGCGCCCCTTGGTGCTCGTGGGGCGGCGCGGTGGCTGGAGGCCCCCCCGACGGCGCCTCGGGCTGTGCCACGGGAGTCTGTGTTGAGCGGCTGGAGGCCACCACCTTCTCGGGGACAGGGATGGCGACGTCCTCCTTGGCAGGGGCAGTGCGGGAGTCTGCAGGGAGGAACGGGAGACACGTGCTGGGGACAGTGCTTGGGCCCCACGGGCATGGCTGTGGGGCAGCGCTGCGTGGGCTCTGCCCCACGGCAGGGCGCTTGCTCACCTGCCGCGTCGAGGTGCACCTTGGCCGAGGGGGTGCTGTAGGGGCCCTGCCCGGCCTTGTTCACACAGGCCACCCGAAACCTGGCTGTGCTCCCGGGCGGCACGTCTGTCACGTTGAAGTAGCAGTCGACGATGCCGGTGCTGACGATCTTCCACTCGTGCTCCCCTGCCGGCAGAGGCAAGTGAAGGTCAAGATTGCTCAAGAGAGCAGGGACATTTTTGTCTGGGTTCGGTGTCACTCTGTGAGGCTGGGGCTATTTTTCCAGATGTTACTTCCAGAAAAGTGTGAAGTGTCCCAGCCCCTCTGTGGCATTTACCCTCCCGGGGTTTTCGCCCGTGGGATTTCCCGTTGGCAGAAGCCAGCATGCGGGCTGAGTGTGCAGACACCTCCCGTGACCAGGATGTCCCCAGGGTGGGCTGCAGACCCGAGAGGCCAGCTGACAAGTATATGGGGAGCAAAGAGCAGCAGTGCTCTCTCTACCTGCATTTGCCCTGCGCCCT